ACAGGAAAACGCCACAGCAGCAAGCTATGAAGTCGCAAAACTTATTGCCCAGCATGGCAAACCGTTCTCAGACGGTGATTTCATAAAGCAGTGCCTCATCAAAGTCACAGAAGTAATGTGCCCGGAAAAAGTGCAGGATTTCAACAACGTGAGCTTATCCAGAAATACAGTGGTGCGGAAAATCGAGGACTTGTCAGCTAACCTGAAACTTCAGCTGAGAGAGAAAGCTTGTGCTTTTGATTTTTACTCGATAGCATGCGATGAGAGCACAGACGCCACAGACACCGCACAGCTTTTAATTTTTTTGCGGGGAGTCGATGATAATTTTTGCTGTACGGAGGAGCTGCTTGATATGATGAGCCTAAAAGGCACAACGACGGGTGGAAATATTTTTGACGCTGTGTCAGAGGCAGTTGAAAAGATGGGGCTTAAATGGGACAAGCTCTGTGGAGTAACAACGGATGGAGCTCCGGCCATGACGGGTGAGCGCAAAGGAATGGCATCCATGGTGTGCGTCAAGGTAAAAGAGAGCGGAGGTGAGGCTGTTAGGATGCACTGTATAATCCACCAAGAAGCACTGTGTGCCAAGACTGTCCAGCTGGGCGATGTGATGAACACTGTTGTAAAAACTGTCAACATAATTCGAGCTAGAGGACTGTACCACAGGGAATTTCAAGCTTTCTTATCTGACGTGGATGCTGAATACGGGGATGTACTCTACCACTCTGATGTGCGCTGGCTCAGCCGCGGCTCTTTGCTGCAGCGGTTTTATTCACTGAGATCAGAAATCGACAAGTTTTTGAAAGAGAAGGGCCGACCTCTTCATGAACTGAGTGACCCTCTGTGGCTGGCAGACCTGGCATTTTTAGTTGATCTCACTCATCATCTGAATACACTGAACAAGAACCTACAAGGCAAAGAACAGCTGGTGTCACACCTGTATGCCACATGAAAGCCTTCTGTGTAAAGCTCCGCCTGTTTGAGACACAACTACGAAGCTTTAATGCTGCACACTTCCCTGCGCTGTCTGAAATCAAGTCTGCTTTTCCAAAGGCAGACCTTTCTGCTAAAAAGGAGAAATATGCTTCTGTAATTACATCTCTCGTGACAGAATTCAACCAGCGTTTTCAAGATTTTTCTGTCATTGAAAAACAAATCAAGCTGTTCTCGACCCCCTTCCTGGTGGATGCAGAAGAAGTGGAGGAGAGTCTGCAGTTAGAACTGATTGAAATGCAATGTGATGATTCTCTGAAGAGTCAACATCAGCTTCTCTCCCTCCCTGACTTCTATCAGAGTTTGGATCATGCCAAGTTTCCTCTGATGAGACGCCACGCAAAAAGAATGATGAGCCTGTTCGGCTCAACATACATATGTGAACAAACATTTTCTCTGTTAAATCAGAACAAAAGCAGACTGAGATCCAGAATGACTGATAGCCATCTCTGTGAAGTCCTTCGTGTCTCAACCACCAAACTTTCTCCTGACATCCCAGCCATCCTTCAATCCAAAGGACAGCATCACTGCTCCCACTGAGAGCAATGTTCTTCACATTATAGGTGAGTTAGAAATACACACAGTAATCATGTGTCAATATGTCACCTCTTGTGTGTGGCCCGGGCCTTTGCTTATTTTTCTGTATTTGGCCCTCACCAAAAAAACTTTGGACACCCCTGCTCTAGTTACTTTATAAGCTTTAGTTAATTATCATACCTTTAGTTCCCTTTAGTTACTTTTCATAACTCTAGTTGCCTTTAGTTACTTTTCAGTTCTTCATTTTCTTTTAGTTATTTTTCATACCTTTATTTTCCTTGCTTATACATATTAAAACTGTATTGATGACTGCTGTATTGTGCTGAGTGTAACAGTGGGACTGTATGCTGTAACTTCTGTAGAGACAGGGTGTCTGCATCTCCAAGTAACCAGACAGCCTGTCTACATTTTAACAAAGACCTGTTGGCCTGTTTTACACCCACACCTAGACCCACTTAGCATATCCCAAGTTCTGCTTTGTCATGGGGTGTCCTGCAGAGGCAGGGGGCCCACAACCTGAGATGACCACCTGGCCAGTTTAGCATACTTATTAGCATCACACACACAGGGGGTCTGCAACCCAGACCACCCATTGTTCAGTGGTCACTGATTAAGATCAAGCTGCCACCTGACAAACACACACACACACACACAGCAACACACACCTGCTTTAGATCACATTTCAGCAAGCAGGTGCAGGCAGAGGTTGACCTACTCACACCAAATGGCCAATGGCATTACAAAGTGTGGAATGATGTAACTCTGTCCAGGGCAGAGCAGCCCAAGAACTTAAAAGTATTGTGAAAACCTAACTCGTGGTTCAGAGAACGGATTTTCCTGCGTGAGTTCTGTCTCTCTGAATCCAGTGCTGTAATGCTGTGCCCAGACTTTGAGTAAACTTCTTGTTGATTTTAAACAGTCCTCTCCTGTCTTCACTTCTTGCGCTTCCAACAGAAGAATTGGGTTATTTCTAACAACCCCATTTGTGAGCCCATCTTCTATTTTTTCTCTTCATGTGCTACATGCAGGTGTAGTGGGTGGCGTGTCCACCCGCTTCAGCAAGCTGAAGTCACCGTGTTGGACTGTGGGCCGTATATAGGTCCCAAGGAAGGAAAGCAGCAAAACAGACCAGGGCAGGTCCATGTGCCCTGCATGGGGTGAAAACAGTGGTCTAAACATGGGCAATGCACATCCAATAAGGACCATATATGTTTGAAGCAAGATGGTCTCCGAAGTAAATATAGCGGCTCTCTTGCAAGCCTGCTTAAACACACTGGTAATGTGATTTCCATGTTGATGTAAAAACCTAACACCTAGGTGTAAAAGTGCAGGAAAGAGGAAGGGGATGTGTGAGAATCTGTCATCTTGTTGAAAATCCTCTGATATACAGAAAGTTAATAAATCTTAGCCAAATCCTCTCATGTAGACGTGTGAGTGATAAGGGGGAAATATGAAAATTTTACAACCCCCTGATATGAAGGAAGGGGGTGTGTGAAAGCCTGACACTTTGTGATAAATCTTTGATATACAGTGCCTTGCGAAAGTATTCGGCCCCCTTGAACTTTGCGACCTTTTGCCACATTTCAGGCTTCAAACATAAAGATATAAAACTGTAATTTTTTGTGAAGAATCAACAACAAGTGGGACACAATCATGAAGTGGAATGAAATTTATTGGATATATATTGGATATTTCAAACTTTTTTCTGTAATCAAGTCTCCGTATAAATGCGCCTGCACTGTGATAGTCTCAGAGGTCCGTTTAAAACGCAGAGAGCATCATGAGGATGTGGGGAGGAGGGGCGGGCAGTGGGGGTTCCAGAGGTGGAAGGGGTATGGCCTAGGGTCATAAATCAATAATTTCACACCTAGTTTGATAGAAGCTACACTCTTATACTCTCTTACAGGCCACCAAGAAGATTGCGTAAATGTTATTACATCTGGCTTTGTTAAGCTATATTGGTGGTAGGGCTGCAAGATTATGGAAAAATAATCACGATTATTTTTTTGTCAATTTTGATTGATTCAATTTGGATTATTTAACACCAAACACTCATTGACTTTGAAAACATCATGCATTTATTGATCTTTAAAAAAAAAAAAACATCTTTAAACAGTGGGGTGTCTTTAACTTTAAATATGATACAACTGAAAAACAAACACAGATTTTTATCTACCGAATTGTGATTGACAATTTCAGAGGAAATTACTTAGGCTATTGCTCTCTATTTATTTTACAAATAAAACATTGCTATTTCAGGTTAAAAATAGCCTACTGCCTGACATTACCTAAAGAATCTACTGGGCTCACCATCAAACAGCCATACATCCCTCTATTCCTCTTTTGGCTTTTCAGAACTAATTTAACATGGTTAACACAAGCTGGCAGTGCATGACAGACTGCAAGGAAAGGTGAAGTTTATGCTCATTTAGCGGGGTTTTTGATACATTATTTGTGAGAATTTTTTACTCATGGAGGTTTTGTTGAAAATAAAGTAGCGAGCTTAGGTATTGTCATCTCAAGTAATATGTTTCACTTCCCCGATCCCTGCAAAAGTTTTGATTTATACTAAGAAAAAAACAGAGCATCCCTGGGAAACGGAATGAGGCACAATAATAATTTTAGCTCAGTTGTTTTACCTTCATCGTCATTGGAAGCCAAAATCAATTAAAAATAAAATGTGATTAATCACCTAGTCCTATGGGTGGATGAATGGTTAAATTAGTTGTATGGAATATATCTGATTATTATTCCCCAATTCATAATTGATCTAAACTCCCCTACTTATACTACTCCATATATTCTGCAAATGTCATACCAACTGAAAATATATTATAGAGACTTATGTCCATCCATCAATAAATGCAGTATAACTGTCAGCCAGATTCCCTTTTTACTATTTTTTTTTAACTGCTTTTGTTTAGTCTGCCTCAGAGTCTGCACCAGTGTACAAGTATTAATTCCCTTTGAATTTTTTTTTTCCTTTACCTGTGGGTTTTATTTTATCATATCTTTCATTATGCAGATAATACTGTGTATATAGTTCTGTCAGCATAATTACAATTTTAAAAAATATTGTCATGTTTCAGCATTTTTAGGCACACTGCGTCATAGTGTAATTAATACTTGTCCTTGCCAGTATCAAGTAAATTAAGCAATTTCAGTTATGCTCAAATGTCACACAAAGTTCTGATTTTGAAGATACATAGAACATGCTGTTTACTCTCTGTGACACTGACTTATAACCTCAGGCGATGTTACTTCTGCCAAGGAGGTTATATTTTTGTTTCTCTCTGTTATGGTCAAAGGTCAAGGTCAAGGTCAAAGTGTTTATTTGTCATATGCACAGTTTGGAAACGTGTTTCCTTGTTCAATGAAATTCTTACTTTGCTGTCCAC